TGACCCTTTAAAATAACAAATGATGATCTATAAAAAATGAATTTAGAAAAAGAAGACTTGTACAACAGCATCTATTTTCACCAAACGAGGACAAGTGAACCCTTTGTACCTCAACTATCTGAATTCTTCTCTTTCCCTTTTGTTCTTCATCATAGCATCAACAAATCACGTAGGCTGGACTTCCAAGGGTCATCTACTCCAAACCCCTACTCAAAGTAGGTCCAGCTGCATCAGGTTACTTGGGGTCTGTCCACTGTTCTGAGTATCTCCCAAGTACAGAGACTCTACAGCCTCTCTGGACTGCTTGGTTTAGTGTTTGATGACCATTGAGTTTAGCCAAAAAGTGTCCTGTGTTCCTAACTTTGTCCTTTGCCTCTCATCTTTTCACTGCACATCTCTGAGAAGAGCCTGGCATCATCTTCTCTATGTACTAGGTAAACACTTGCTACTCTGGCCCGGGATGAAGTTGACATTTGCTGCAGGAGAACATTGCTGATTCGTATTCAGTACCAGGACCCCAATCTTTCTGCAAAGCTGCTTTCTAGACAGTTTAGCACCAGCCTGTTCTGTTGCACAGGATTACTCCAATCCAGATGCAGGACTTTGTATTTGTCCTTGTTGAACTTCATGAGGTTGCTAGCAGCCCATTTTTCCTGCTTGCAACATCTTAGATCTTCTTATATACAAGAACTTTCACTAAATACACTTGACAAGGGGAAGAAGTGTGATGCAAAACTGCAGGATAAGATTTCATGGATGTGTCTTCTGCCCTTGCATCAGGATTTCTATATCAACAACAATAAAAATTCTGCTTTGCGATTAATGAGATTCCAGTGTTTGCTTCTACTCTGACGTTGTTCAGACCACAAAGATTAAAAAAAAAAAAGGAAATCTCTCCAGAAAATGTAATATCCTAGGACAAAGGATACCCAAACTTGAGAGACATACCCAAACAGAGAAGGTAGAGTTCCTGAATGCCTTCTTTGCTTCAGTCTTTACTGCTAGGTCTGGCCCTCAGGAATCCCAGACCCTGGAGGTAAGAGAGGAAGTCTGGAGAAAGGGAGACTTTTCCTTGGTCAGTGAGGATCAGGTTAGAGATCATTTAGGCAAACTTGACACCCACAAATCCATGGGCCCCGATGGGATGCACCCTCAAGTGCTCAGAGAGACAGCAGATGTTATTGCTAAGCCACTCTCCATTACCTTTGAAAGACCCCGGAGAACAGGAGAGGTGCCTGAGGACTGGAGAAAAGCCAATGTCACTCCGTATTCATCAGTGACCGGGATAAAGGGACAGATGAGATCAGCAAGTTTGCTGATGATACAAAACTGGGAGGAGTGGCTGATACAGAGGAAGCCTGTGGTGCCATTCAGCAAGACTCAGACATGCTGGAGAGCTGGGCAGAAAGGAAACTAATGGAGTTCAACAAAGGCAAGTGCAAAGTCCTGCACCTAGGGAGGAAAAACCTCCTCTATCAGTGCAGGTTGAGAGCTGACCTGCTGGAAAGCAGCTCTGCAGAGGATCTGGGAGTTCTGGTGAAGAGCAAGTTAACCATGAGCCAGCAACATGCCCTCGTGGCCAAGGTGGCCAATGGCATCCTGGGGTGCATTAAGAGTACGGTCAGCAGGTCAAGGGAGGTTCTCCTCCCTCTCTACTCTGCCCTAGTGAGGACACATCTGGAGTACTGTGGCCATTTCTGGGCTCCCCAGTTTAAGAAAGACCAGGAATTACTGGAGAGAGTCCAGCAGAGGGGTACAATGATTATTAGGGGACTGGAGCATCTCTCTTATGACAAAAGCCTGAGACACCTGGGTCTGTTTAGCCTGGAGAAGAGAAGATTGAGAGGGGATCTTATCAATGCTTATAAATACCTAAAGGGCAGGTGTCAAGAGGATGGGGACAGACTCTTTTCAGTGGTGCTCAGTGACAGGACAAGGGTCAACACAGATGAAACACAGTAAGTTCCATCTGAAGATGTGGAAAAAATTCTTTACTGTGAGGGTGACAGAGCACTGGAACAGGGTGCCCAGAGAGGTTGTAGTCTCCTTCTCTGGAGATACTCATAAACCTGTCTGGATGATATCCTGTGCAACTTGCTCTAGATGTACCTGTTTTGGCAGGGGGGTTGGACTAGATGATCTCCAGAGGTCCCTTCCAACCCTTACCATTCTGTGATTCTGTGATTCTTTAAGTGCAAGCTTAGAGACAAAATTTCCCAGAGAATTTATTCTAGCACTGTTTGTTACAACAATGCTGGCACATTCCTTTGAAGAATCTCCTAACTAGCTGTCATCAGACACAGAACAAACAATTAGCTAAACTAAAATTTTGATTTAATAGGGCAGAAAATATGTTCCTAACAGAAAATCAAAGCAAAATTACAAAAAAACCCTTAACTGAGCAGTTCAATACCACACGTGTCCTAAGCAGTGGTATTGAACCTTGAGCTGTTTTCAATCTTTCCTAAACTTTTAAAAGTCATTCTCTTCAGATTGCTAGGTTTCTTCTGGTGAAGGACATGTACCAATTTTTTAATACAGATGCAACTTATAAAATCTATACTGAAATAAAAGATGAGAAAGATTAGACTTTAGCAAAGATGATGAGAAAAATGTTGAACCAGAACAACATACACAAGAAACAAGAGCATAGAATCTTAAACACAGCATTATTATTTATAAAATCCTACTGGTATACATTTACTGCATTTAAACACACTGGTAGTTAGTTCAGTCTAGCAATGGAAAGCAATTAAGACCAAAGTCCAAAAAAGTATCTAAAAGTCCTCTGTGAAGGAACAGTTCTAACATCTTTCTGAAGTTAATCAAAGAAGAAATCATCTCAGCACTGATGAAGAGTGAGAAGGAATGAATGATTCAGTGAACTAATGTAAAGCAAAATCTTATAGCTCCCTTAGTGTTTTTCGAATGGCGATGAGGCTTTTTATATCAAATTGATTTAGATTCCAGAGGCATACTGCTTGCCCTGTTTCTCTGAAAAGAATCAACTGAAATATATGAAAAAAAGAAAAAAAAAAAAGAGTAACTTGAAGGAAATCAGAAACTGTCCTGTATGCATAGGAAATCAGAATAAAATTCCAATCACCCATATCATACTTTTCCATATGAGGTGTGTATCACTGAAAGTCAGGTTCAAACATCAACATCACAACTGCATTTCACATGAGCTACAAGGAATCCTGAGTCCTTGAAACAAGGCAATAATTAATATATAATATTTTCAAGGATTATAAGCATTCATTTTGTTTTTACACAGTTTCTTTTAGTTAGAAATACTACATAACTCACAAGTCAGTAAGGAAATAGCTTATCTGTTTTGAAACTTGGTAAATATAATTTGTAACTGTTGTCATTGCCTAAAACACTAGAAATACATTATTTCAAATGAACCACAACAATCAACTTAATCCAGACTACTATCCATTACTAGATAGTTAAGTAAAATAGATGTTAGAAATTAAAGTATATGATTAAAATTACGTATCTTTGGAATTTGTTCTATGATTTTATAAAATGAGATTTTCCCCACAGTAGTCCCTTTGCATGACTTAGGCACATAAAATCTATTCTACTGCTATAAATCCCATTAACAGTACTAGACATTCTGCTTAGAATTTGTAAGCACTACAGTCAAAATTAAATCCCCTTGGATTAGTAAAATTCAGTTATGTACGAGACTAGAAATTAGAGGGTTGCTGCAATGAGACTGAAAACAAAAAAAGACAAGAAGTCTGACAAAATTAATGACTTGGTATATTAACCTCATGTACTACTACATGAGATATATAAAGCTCTTTTCCCCATTACAAAACCTGAATATTCTCAAAACTTCAATATTCCGTAACTACATCACAGGTTTTACATTCTTAAACTACAACAGCTCCTTTCCAGCCTTCACTGAATTTAAATACTTCTGGTATGACAAATGTTGAGAAAAATATATTCTTAGAGCATGAAAAAGAATCTTCTTTTCATGTGAATAATATTCACAAATTTCCTTGGCCACTTTCCCAGTTTATCTGAACAGGACTTCTGCTCTCCAGATATTCACATAAAATGTACTTCTTACTTTTATGTAAGAGAAAACCCTCCTAGACAAGAATTTCTTGTAATTTTTGTAAGAATTTCTTTTGTAGTCTTACAAAAAAATATTGCACCTTTGCAGGTGTTAAACATTTAGAAATAAATTAAGTGAAAAAAAAAAAAATTGCATCTTTTCAGTTGACAAGGTACTATTTTAGGCCTAATCCTTCATTTAGACACACATAGAGGTACCCTATTCTGTACAGCCCAAATGCATGCTGCCACATAAATGCTGATAACATACATAAAGGAGAGAAGATATACAGCTGATAGAAGCATTTTAGTTTGTGAAGGAGACATGAGGAGAGAGAGCATCCAAGAAATTAGTTGTTAAGGTCATAACAATCAAATCCCAAATCAAATTCACTACTGCATCAAATCAACACAGGTTCAGTCTCAAGGTTTCATACCTGAATTTAAGTTTCTATACTCCTAATTAAGGCCCTATTCAGAAAAAAAAAAAAAAAAAAAAAAAAACCTTAATTAATTTTAAGCACAAACTTAAAACCACTCAATTGAGAATGAGGTACAAGCCTATGTTTAAATTAACCATATGTATAAATGTTACTGAAGTCAGCCTTAAGAGGTTCTTGAAATGATTTCATGAATTATTATGACAGAGCATAAAAAATACATGTTTAATTTTGATCAACTGTGCAATATCTAACGAGAAATTATAGGTGATCACGAAGTCAAAGACACTTCAGTTTGTTGAAATATCTCCAAATACCCTCAATTGCTGAGATATTTTTTTAGTGAGGACACGTTTCAAGAATTGTAACTTTGATCTATAGTTTTTATCTATATTTTTAGAAGAAAGAATAAGGCTAACAAGATCCAAAGTTATCTGTACTCAATAAAGACAGGGCTATAATGCACCCTTACATGACTTTTACCTGTTTCAACATCTGTTAAATGCAGCATGGAATCAAAGCCCCCACTGAGGATCCTTCTTCCACAAGACGACCACTGAGCAGCTCGAACAGCACAGGAGTGACAGGAATATGTTTTTAAACAGCAGCCTGTATCTACCGCATCCCATACCTTAAAAAGGAGGATAAGGACAACTTTATAAAGAATCACAGTATTTTTTTTTCAATGTGCTGATAAATAGCTACAGCAAATCACTATGGCTGAGAAAGCTTTGCATTCCAAAGTTGTATCTGCTAAACTGTAAAAGTCTGCTTGAAATAATTGCACAGTTGATTAGAATTAAGGCATTTAAATAACAAGGCACAAATCAGTAATACATTTTTATGACTTGTATTAATTCTTCAAATGACTACATTTCTCTCAATGGCAATTCATATTACACTTCCCCATTCATCCCTCTGTGCAGGGATGTATCCAAACACATTTTCCCTTTAAAACATTGTTCTTCAAAACTTTTGTCTCTATCATAACTTGCTTTCCATCACGTAAGAGGAATCGTAGCAGAGTGCAGCTTTCACATCTGCCTCTAGATAGGCCATTAACATATTCTCATTCATTTTATAATTTTAACCAGAATTTTACCTTAACTTCACTGAGCAGGCAGATAAGAATATCATCATGCATCTACAAGGAGATTCTAAGGACTGGCATATGTTCTCTCACTTTTCACTTTCTTCTGGACAGAATTAGGTTGATGCTAAGCACTTCTGAAAATCCTATTCTACCAGCTACTCACATTTTTTTAAGTATATAACAGCTAACCTTTTAAGTACATAAATAGTCCTGCTCATATTTTAAAAATAATTATTTAGAGAAAGGCAGTTGTTTCCAAGTAATACATTTTAGAAAACAGAACTTGTCTGAATTACAATTTCAGTTATCAGATATAGTTCACAATAATCAAAAGCACATCCTTTTCATAGTGCTCTTTTTGGCATAGTTTTAATATAAAATTAGAAGTTTATCAACAAACGACCCATATAAAGATCCAGTATGCTCACTTCTGTGAGACCAGGCTAATTATCAAAACTATTTTCCCTATGAATATTCTGTTTCAGTAAAAGCCAGATTATAAAATATCTTACGACTGTACAACACAATACCTGTTGAGTTGTCTAATAAAATGGATAACAAATGCTATAACCATACCAGTAAATCCTACACTTTATTTCTTCTAATATTAGTAGTACAAATAAATCAACACTTTGACAGTGCTTCATCATAGTTTTCTTGAAGTTTCAGTAAACCCAAGGCAGTTTATTGCTTTAAAGTCACCATTTTACTTCATAGTACTTCTCTTTGCAATTAGTCATTTTCATCCTGCAAAAAACTTGCAGGATGAAAACTGCCTACCAACTTAGAAGCTTATTCTGAATTTTGTCTATTCTAATCAATTTCTCATTTCTAAAATTGTTTATATAATGCTGGGAACAGACTAGGCAATTAACAGAATACAAAAAATGACTTTTTTTTAAAGTGAGATCAAATTCAACCTTCATGTATATCAACACAAGTGCACTGAAATTAGTACCAAAATAAAACTGACTGCGTGTTTGTGCATTTTAAAGGTTGTAAAAAAACAAAACAAAACAAAACACCAAACTCAGTAAATCAGAAAACATAAGTAGACATTTCTTTTCTTGTGGCGACACCACAATTCTCAATACAGGAAAATATAAAGGGGGAGAAAAAAGCAAGACTTTTAGTAATGTATTTTTATTTTCAGTTATATTTTCTTCTTGCAGGACAAAAAAAATTCACATATTATTATTATATCATCCATACTCAGAAGACAACATTCCATTATAGAAAATTATTTCATCTAAGTATCTTCTAGCACAGAGCGCAGTTCTGCAATGCAAAGCAACCAATTATGATTAATTACTTGAACCATGATGGCCATACTCTGAAGTATTCTACCCTATCCACAAGAAAAGAAATCGGGAAAATTTTAATATTAAACTGCTTTTGAAAGTAAGTTTCTCTGCTTTAATGAGTTTTAAGGATCTTTTCAAGCTTCACAGTACTAAAAAAGGGTTAATTGTGTCTTGGAGGGCTTTTCATATGAGGAAGCTAATGAATGAATCAAGATGAAAGGAAAAACAGGTGGTACATGCTTCAGATATTTTTCTGTCATGTTTTAGTGATTAAGTATGAAAACTCAATTTTCACAAGAAGGATGAAGTAAAACAAGTTCAACAGCATTTCCGAGTTCCCACTTGATTAAAAAAAAAAGCTTTATAAATGGAAAAAGTGCACCACTAAAGTTACACACTTCCCTCCATTATGTGAAATGGAACAAACGATCAACTCAGGAGTGAGACCACTGACCATGCACAAGGGACAAGTTACTGAATACCACATTTCTCTCCACTATTGAACTTTCCATCAGCATTTTTGCTCAGGTAATGGTGGTGCTACAATCCTTCTGGAATTAAGAGCCAAGTTGGCAAGGCAGCCTTGACTGAGGAAAGTCACTTAGTTTATCACCCATTAACATAAATTTTAGTAACTGATTCAGGTATTGAGCTAAAGAAGACCACAAGTTAAATGAGCACTTAGGGGAGCACCTTCCCTCCCCAGGCCCCACTTCAGTCCAGCACTTCTCCTCCCCTATTCCTACCCCAGCTTCCTCTGTTTTCACTGGGCATTACACTCAGACCCTTCCACATCCCTTTGGCAAGACAATGGCCATCACAGAAGGCTGGGGTCAGGGCCTAGAGGTTTCCTGCCTCTCCCTGTGTCTTAACCTTTTTGTCCCCTGCTTCTTTGCTTCTTACTAAGTCTCTGCTCCTTCTCTCCAGATGTACATCGCTTCTCCTATCTCCTCCCATCACCTCTGCATGTCCTCACACACATCCTCATGTTTCCTCATGCGTTTCCTTGTGTCCTCTGCCCGCAGCAGCTGCTCTTTTTCTTCAATATGCCTGAACAGAGGCACCACATGCTCCTCTGAACTTCTGGCCCAAAGTGAGTTGTTTTCATCCAGTTCAGAGCGAGTTGAAACCAGTTGTAGCAGCACAGGGCAGATCATGACCTCCTCTCACACAGGGGAACCCTCCATCCCCTGTGACCAGATCCCACAGTTTATGCCCAATACAAGCAGTCAGTTCACACAGAAAGTTAGGACAGACCTCCATCAAGATACCAATTCAAATTCACTGGAGTCTAAAAGGCTGCTTTTAAATAATGCTGAGAGGTGCCACTTCTGCTGGAGCTTTACAGTTTAATGGATAGAGAAGTCACACAAGGCAGGAGAAGAAGATGGCAGACCCTGGCCTGCTGTGCAGTGGCAATGCTCTGCAAGCTTCACCTGCACACATTCAATCCTAGCTATGGTTCCATATGACCTAACTGGGATTTTCTTTCAAGTCTTGTGTCTGCTGAAGTTAGCTTAGTGTAACTTTGATACATGAGTGTGTGCCCTGCTGCAAGGAGGATACTGTGCAGTGCATCCCCAGAACAATTTCAGAGTTTTATGTTTCAATATTCATCTTCCACAGGAGAAAGGAAGCTCCACTTGCTATTTGCAAGAAGAGGTATTTGCTATTTACATTTAGCTCTTTAGCAACCACTTAAGAGATCCAGCCATGCCCACAGAAAGTCACATAAAGGTGAGCCATTGAATATCAAGAAACTAAAATGGTGTGCAGAACTGAAAACAAGGAAATTAAAGGACAAGCTATGAACCTTATGTACAAATAAGAAATTATAAAAAGGTGGAAGCTATGAATACTCAGCTGTAACTGAATGCATCTGCCCCAAGTTACAAACACTGTTCTGTGTATTGAAGTAACAGAGATGTTAACCATGTCAAGCCCACAAATGGAGAACCTACTGTATTTCATTAACAAGGAAAGGTGCTTCAAATCCAATCAAAGGATCACCACAAAGCAGCCAAGTCTGTATTTTCTTAGAGTCTCCTAGGTAGTTCCCCATTCCTGCGGTACGGCATTTCTACTGCTTTACCATAGTAAGGGGAAAAGGTGGATAGATAGAAAGTGACAACATACTCCATCCAAAGCTTCAGAGGAACTGAAGAGCTGGTGTTCAGTCTGTACAGGCAGCCACTGTCATTAAAAAAAGGAGGATGGGGGTTGCAAAGGGATGAGTCCTTTGCATGTGAGTTTGTCTCTCTCTGCCAAACACTCAGATGCCAGATTAACAGATTCTCCAGGATGAAAGGCATTTCAGGGTTTTTCTTTCAACTGAGATAATCAAGTGCTTCAAGAATAACTTGTGTGGAATTTTTTTTTTCCTACTCTGTCTTTCTTCACTTTTCCATATGCAGGATATGCTGGCTCAAACCAGTATGGAATAAGCCTGAAAGACTGCATGGGAGTAACCAGCAGAGCTGACGAAATAACCCGCATCCCCAAAGAGCATCCAACATGATGCCTGAACCCAGAAGCATGTTCTCTAAAATACCAAGGTAAATAAGAAACAGGCATCAATCAACTAGTTTAGATCCTGGCAATTGTGCATATAGAACTAGGTTACAATACAGCCACTGGACTTCAGCCTCAAAAGAAAATTTTTTCAGGTCCTGGCATAAAGCAGGGGACAAGAGGGTCCCCTATGAATTAGGACCATTAAAAACATCCTATTTCAACTGACTGAAGCTGTTGATCATGCCTTCTCTGACAAAAAGGAACATGAATTACAGACTCTTAAAGAAGAGGATCGGAAACTCATTCTTCTGAATGGCATCTACATCTGAGCTCAGAAAAAGGATTTGTATCCAAGAACAGCCTAAGACTGAAGATAAAGGCCACAACACTATAATTTTAAAAGTCACAATTGTAACAAATACAACTGTAATTTCAAAGTAAGTGATTTTAAGAAATGAAGTATCTTAGAACTATTTAGAAAGTTGTATTTTAAATACCAAAGGCTGCTAACTTTAAGCATACCTAATACCTTAAAACAAAGGTTTATAAAATAAACTCATGGATCTACATGGAATAAAGGCTTACATGTTTAGTACAAAATAAATTACTCAGGCAGGGGCAACAGTTCAACAAAAAATACATAGACTGAGACATACATCTTCCTTCATACTAGACGCTATCATGCATCTGTCTGAAAGGTGGCCAGATTTATATTCAATT